GGTTGGAGCAGCTCCCCTATTAGGATTGGTTACATCAACTGGGAATTGGCTTAGAAAAAAGGCACAAGTGAGGGAAGATATAGAGGTGTTTAAAGTTACGCTTGCCGACATTTTTCTCCCTCACCCATAATGCTAGAATCCCAGGGCCATGCCGTGAAATTGGTTGGTGGAAGGTTCATGACAGAAAAGGAAGTACTTCTTCACATAATATGTAGTTTAACTATGGAATTCACTGCCAGAGGAAGTAGTGATGATCAGCAGGTTGGATAGCATTAAATGGAGATTGGATAAATTCATGGAGAAGGAGGCTATCAATAGCTACTAAACTTGCTAGCTATGTACTGCCTGTTAACAGAGGCAGCATAACTGTGTACAGAGTTGCTGAGGAGCTTGGGCAGGCAGAATTCTTGTACCCATCCTGTTTGAGCAATCCTGTGGTTTGCCCCTGTGCGAATGGAGTGCTGGATTAGATGGACCATTGGTCTCATCCAGCATGGCTTTTCTTATAGTCATATGTAACAAGCCATGACTTGTTAGCATGGTTTGGTTCAGACAGCATAACCTATGGTTCACTGATAACCTGCACTCAACCCATACTCAACTTTTGAGTGTCGATTTTTATGTTGTCTGAACCAGTGTCTGTGCCAGTGAAAAATGTTTAAGATTAACCAACATAGAAAGTGTATCTAAACTGCCAGTGCTTGTACCATTGTTCTCTTGTGTTGCTGAAGGATCCATAAGAAAATGGAGGGTGAAAGTGTACAAACCTATATATGTATGGGTTCACAGTTGCAATTGTTCACAGTCTGCAATTGTTCTGGCCAATTCCAGACACAAGCACAGACTATTCAGAATGTGGATACTATGCTCTAGGCAAGCAGGGCACTTCCTCTGTTGAGAGTGACATTGTGCCCCAACACCATGTGATTGGTATTAGGCATTCCTCTGGCAGGAGCCTACATCCCAAACAGCAGTTGCAGCCCATCCAAGCAGAGAATAATCAGTGCAGGCTTCCTCTTAAAATGAAGTCTTTATGCTGGCAGGCGGCAGCGTGGCTGCCAAGGAAAGGTGATGCCTCGGGACAGAGAAGTTCTTTCATGCCTCTGCCTTTGAAGAGCCGGGAATCAGTATCTTTTTCTGGCCAGCTCTCTCTTTCTGTTAAGAGGCTACATTGGCTGTGTAGTGCAGGAACCCATTAAAACAATGCCCTGGAGACGAGGTCTGTATATTAAACAAGTTGCCAGAGAAGTTTAAAATTAAAATTATAGGGGTTGTAAAAATGAAATGGTAGCTAGGATTTTGATGTAATCACATGCCTCCAAGAGCAGATGACTGGTATACAGATTTGATCGTTTATATAAACTGCTTTGAGTGCTTATTTGGGGTGATGAGGGGATGATGACAAAAAGGCAGGATAGAAGTCTTAAATGAATACCGGCCCTTGTTAAAGCCTATCTCAGTGCTTAGCCATTTTCGGGGAATTCGATGAAAGACTGCCAAGCAATTTGAGACCTGATTGACCTAATGCTACTATGATTCAAGTACCATCTCCCCCGTCCTAAGTCCTTCTTGCCAGTTCCCAGCTGCAAAGTTTCTGCAGTGACGTGTGGTCTCCCCTTCTCCACACACTAGAACTCTGGCACATGGTGACTCCTGGTAAATGCATTTCATTTTACAAAAGAAACCTGTGGGTTTATTTTCCAACTGAACTTGGCTCTCACGCCTTACGTCTTCTATTCCATTTATCTTCCTTAGACTGCAAGTTCATCTGTCATTACCGATGCCGGGCCCTAATTCGGCTGGACTGCAGCGGCCCCAGATATCAAGACAGTGATCAGAATGATTGCAATGAGCAGACAGTGGAGAAGGACACCAATGTGGTAAGCAAATGATTCTAAAGTCTTGTGCAGGCTATAAAAATATAGTGAGCTTCTTCCGCCCTGAGAAAACTATATCTGGAATGTCAGCATGTTCTACATAACAAGAACTTGGCATGGCCAGAATAGGCGACCATGCAAAAGATGGAAGGTTTAATTTCTGGCATTTCCAGATGGAGGGTTTTCAGTAGTAGATGATAGGAAACACTTCTGCGTGAAATCTTGAACAGCCATTTCCAATCAGAGTGGACAATACAAAGCTAGATGGATGAACAATCTGACCCAGTCTTAAATACATATATAACTTTTGCACATATAGACAAGCCACTGAGAGGATCATGTCAAATAATAGGCTTAATAATAACATGCCACTGAGAAAAGCAGGGCTAAACATGTTACCAGGGAGCCTTGAAGATGTAAACCTGAACTGAAAAGTGAGTTTCTAATGTACTATACAAGTATATATATTCCCTTCTAAAATATTCAGGAACCACTTTAAGCAAGATATGGGTAATGTGCCTTCTGGAAGGCAAACATTTCCCATCCTTGCTCTGCACCAAGCAATGATTTTCCTCTGTAAAACCTGCACTGCTCTTTTCTGTTCATCTTATATTTAGGTTAGGGCTGTAAACTATAAAGGTTGATTTTATCATTGCCAGGCCTGCCTGCTTGAGGGAATCTTAATACTGGGATACATGGAAACCCTTTGTCTTGTCATCAACATGCATAGCAATTAGGTTGCACTTTCAGTGCAAGTTGAGACTTTGCAGAAAAAGGGAGTGGATCATAAATTTCAAAATGGTCCTAGCAGATCTAATTCCATACTCTTAGGCCCTTGCCTCTTGCTACAGCTGGGGCTGGATGCTGCTAACATGACCCCAGGGATAGGGAGTGCTGAAAGGGCAAGCACTTAGAGATGCAAAACCCAGCTGAGATTGCTTGTTGCCAATTAACGCTTTGCCACATGCTGAAGTAAAAGCTTCTATGGTGGACCTGCACTGCCTAGCAACAGTACTTGCAATGAACACAAAAGGAAAAAATGTATGTGGGGCAATCCCCGAATGTGCCTCACAAAGGTATATTCTTCCATCTCTTTGACCTTTTGCTGTGCCCTGTTGTGTAACTTAAACCACTATAACAACTTAAAACCTCTTGCTTGGAATTCCTTTTCCTTCACTGAATTGCACAGGGAATAGCTGTAGAAGACTGGTGTATCATAGTGCAATTGGAAGTCTAGAAGACATCTGGGTTTAATTCACTGCATCACAAGGAACCTTTGATACTTTCCAACAAATCCTATGCCTGGATCAATTCCCGCATCAAATGACAGAGTGAACTTTCATTTCTGATGGCAGGTTTGTGGTCACATTTTTAAAAAGTTCCTTTACAAACAAATTTCCTGTAAAGTTTATCACTAGCTTCCCTGTGAGTACCTCACGAGGAAACTATGTATGGATGGTCTGAAAGAAATGGGTGTGCCTCAGCATGAGCAAGAATATGGAGAAACAGAATGACCTCCCTACAGGCAAAGGTGTCATTCAAGGTTGTATGTTATCACCCTATCTATTTGTATGCAGAACATATAAGGAAAGCAGGATTAGGATCAGCAGAAAATTGGCAGAAGACACATCAATAATTTAAGATACAGAGATGATACCATATACTGGCAGAAAGCAATGATGACTTGAAAAAATTCCTGATGTAAGCGAAAAAAAACTGCAAAAGCAAGACTGCAGCTGAATGTTAAGAAAACAAAAATAATGACTGCAAAATTACAGAACTTTACTGTCAACAATGAAGAAATGGAAACTGTGAAATATTTTGTATACTTTGGCTCAGTCATCAATTCAAAGGGAAACTGCAGCCAAGAAGTTTGAAGAAGACTGAAACTTGGAAGGGCAGCAATGAAGGAACTAAAAAAGATAGTCAAGTGTTAAGGATGGTTTACTGGAGACCAAGGTCAAGATGATTCATACCATTGTATTCTCAATTACTATGTGTGGATATGAAAGCTGGACAGTGAAGAAAGCTGGCGGGAAGAAAATGGATGAAACATGGTGCTGGAGGAGAGCTTTGTAAATACTCTGGACCAACAGAAATTAGGTCCTTGATCAAATCAAGCCAGAGATTTTCCTTGGGGCAGAAATGACCAAACTGTGGCTGTCATACTTAGGAAACATGATGAGAAAGTAAGACTCACTGGAGAGGACAATCCTGCTAGGGAAAGCCAAAGGCAGAAGACCAAAGGGATGGATTGAATTCATAAAGGAAGCCACAGCCTTGAATTTAGAATAGCTATGCAGGGATGTCATGGACAAGGCTTTCATTTTGGAGGGCTTTCATTCACAGGGTCTCCTTAAAGTTGGAGACTACTTCACAACACATAAGGAGGCATGGACATGGGCTAGACCCTTCCTCCTGATTTACTCCTTCCTGCACGGAATTGTTATGTGGGAGAGAGATTGTCTCCAATCTCTGCAGTCTGAAGTGGGGCAGCTCTACCTACCATTTCATTCTGTGGACGTGTAGGCCAGCCAGACTTCTGTAACCTATACGATTTACTTATTTTCTGACATTTCCAGTCCCTACACTGGGCAGCATGGAGTGGAAGTAGAGATGGCTGATGAAATAAGAACGGCTGCTAGATATAGATGTGCTACAGCCATAGAGGAACTCGTTAGAGAAAACAATCAAAAACACAGTAAATGAAAATGTTCTATGGGCTCCATGTAACGTCGGAATACATCCGTCCCCGATGAGCAGAAAGGAGAGTCCGCGAGGCTTTGAAAGGCTCCACACAGGCTCCTGTCTTCGGGAGCAAGCGCCCAGAATGCTCAGCGCTGCCGCCGGCCGGGCCTTGAAAGTTTCATTGCCCGCAGCGCGAAGCGGAAAAGAGTGAAAAGGAGAGAGGCGCGCTGCTCCGGGAGGACTCGAAGGGCGCCACGAGGGGAGAGCCGACGAGCGCGACTCCGCCTCGCGCGGCTACTTGGGGGATGAAATCACTGCCGCCGCTCCCGCGGGGAGGGGAGTGCGAGCGCCGCGCCTGCCTCGCGCAGGAGCCTCCCTCGCCCCGCCCCTCGCCCAATCAGGCGGGCGCGTGCGGAGTGCCTGCGTTTCAATCCCAACGGTTGTCGAGGGGGAGGGCGGACGGGCGGCAGGAGCGGGAGGTCTCTGTTTCCCCGGCAGCGATTTTCGAGTGTGGCGCTCTTAGCAGCTCGGCGGGTGCGCGCAGTCGTCCCATTTTAGGGGCTCCCGCCGGCGGCTTCCGCAGAAAGCGAAACTCCGTCTCATTAGGCGTTGCCGTCCATAAGGAGCCGGCGTAATTGTCCGCTTCATTGCTCCCCGGGAGGGGGGGTGAACCCGCCTGCTCGGCGTGACTTCGTTGGCACGCAAGAAAATTTGTTCTGGTCGTGGCTCCTCCGGGCGCGGGACGAAGGAGATCGGCGAGGGATTAGAAGAGGACCACTTCCTCTGGGTAGCCGGCGGGGGGAGAGAGGAGAGGGAAGGAAGAAAAGAAAGGACAAGCCTTCCTCCTTGCGCTAGGCTGGGCATGAGCGAGAGTGAGGCGGCGACCACCCCGTCTTTCGAGATGACCTGGAGCAGCACCACGAGCAGTGGCTACTGCAGCCAAGAAGACTCTGACTCGGAGCTCGAGCAGTATTTCACGGCCCGGACCTCGTTCATCCGCAAGCCCCACAAGGAGAAGGTGAGGGGCGCGCGCACTGCGGCTTTCTCCCCTCCCTCCCCTTGCTGAAGCACCGGCGGCGGCTCCTCCCCGCTCATTTCTGAGAGAGGCCGCTCTCGACTGGCCGGCCATGGGAACGCTCCCCGCACTAATATCCAGCCTACATCTTGCTGTAAACTCTGGGTCGGTTGCCCCACCGCGTTAGTATCTTTCCCAGCTCCTGAGTATAGTGGATTACTTGGTGCTGGCGGGGGGAGGCATTGCATTTCTCACCGGTTTTCGCTATCTTTAATATGTTTTGGGTTTCTGGGAGATCGACCTTTAAATTCCCCCAAGTTTGTTTGTTTGTTTAAAACTTTTATATGCCGTCCTTATGCAAGGCATCTCGGGACGGCTCACAATCAGTAGTTCATTTAAGTGAATGAGACCTTTTCCCCACCAGCCACCGGTGGATCAGGATCAGGAAAAAAAGCCAAATCCGAGCGAGCAGGGATGGAAGAGATACTTTCAGTTATTTTTCTGCCTCCTTAAAGCTGCTTGAAATCAGTTAGTTTGGCCTGCCCACTGTTTCAGATGCTAATGTGGGGGATGCTAATCATATTGGGTATAGTACCAGTTTGATAGCAGATAGCTAGTTTTCAGGACCAGAGATTGTCAGAGCAGTCAGCAGGAAGGAATATAAATGTGTGTGGGGGGGGGGGGAGTGTGCCCTCCACTTTGGAACACCAATTATTAAGGAAGACTCGAATAATGGGAAAGGTGGTGTACACAGAGTTGGCACAGGCCCAGAATGGATAAACAGAGATGGAAGTGAATGTTGATTTTGTGGGTACATGTTTAGTTTTGTCCCAGCTGAATGATGGTCTTTCTTAGTCTACGGGGTGGGAAAACACGTATATGTTCAGCAATAAACTGAGACGACAATTGTCTGGGTTTTGTCTGTTCTGTTTTATATGCAGTATTATCCAGACATCAGCACAAATGGTAGATACATTTCCCTGGGGGAGAGCGAGTAACTGTAGTGACAGGTGTGGGATTATGTCTTAAAGGGTCTACATCCGGAAGGCCATAAACCAGTATGCCAGCTTAACAGACTTCATTCAAGAATAATGAGTGATGGTCACTTGGGGACAAGGTGGGATTACCACATGATGCTACAATGGGATGACATGAAGCTGACATAATTATCATATGCTCACTTTACATGGGCACAGTCAAGTGGTTGTGCAACATGTCCTGCTGTAACTATGTGTTATGAACCAGGCTTGAAATGAAAAAATTAATATGTGCTACCACCAAATGAAATTACAGGTTTTTCCTATGGTCTAGATCCAGTTTCCTGGGATCAGTTTACTCTTATTCTGACTATTTGGTTTCAGATATGTGGTGTCTTGGTACAGCATTTTCAAAGCATTGTAACTGGGAAACTGATTCAGATTTAATTTCCAAAGGGGAAAACCCTTGAATTGCACCCACCCCCCAGTACTGCCTGTGTCTCTTGCCTATATGAAGTATTGCAAAAGGAGGGGGTGTTCCTCCAAACCTGACTGAACACAATACATAGCCTGTTTGAGGATGATCATGAATAATATTCACTTATATCTGTTGGCAGGAAAGAGCATGTTGAGAAGCCTAAACAAGGTAGATGCCAGAAACCCTAGAATCAGCATCATTTTAAACTCTGCCACTCATTCAGGCTTTAGGCTTGACTTTTGGGCCTCAGACCTCCTCCTGTAAAATTGTAACAATAGCAGTTATCCACTTCCAAAGATATTAATGCATGTAATTGCTATTAGGGTTTTCAAAACTTTCAAATGACTGATGTTTCTTTTCTCTTCATCAAGCTGAATAATACCTTGCTTAGAACCAGTGTTTCATTTCTTAAAGGAAAGATACATGGCTCATGCACCCTGTAAGGTGGGAGCCTTGTCCCCCATCCCACACTTTGGTTACTCATTTATATAATCTGGGACTTTCAAAATGGACTCTACAGTAGCAAACTAAGTCTTGCTTATGATTGCATGGCACTTGGTCTTTGTGAAATGGTGGTAGTGCTTTCCTGAAAATACATCGTATGGCGCATGCTGAGAAGTCGAAGTGTGCACAGGAATATACTTTGCAAGATCCTCAAACATATAGCTATTAGTCCACTGATTTCCTTTCACTCCCAGCCAGTGTTGTGCTATTACCATTACTTTAGAGAACTATTGATGCCAAAAGAGTGTCTTGGTAATATTGGGTAACCATTACAGTTATGATGAGCACTGTTTGCCTGTATGTTACAATGGCTGCTGAGGAAAATCACCAGGATATTCTTAACCTCTATAAGACTTCTGTTATTTGGAGTTAGGCTACATGATATCAGTGTTAGTTGATGGGGTTTTGCCATCAAAGCATGTATGATCAAGTTTTGCATTTTTCCTATAGGAATGAATAGCAACCATTCATATGTGAAAAAATAAAGTGTTCCAGTCAGAGATGGCAGTGGCATGGGGCAAAATCATCTACTAATAATGTCAGTCATTTACAATCAGTCAGTATTACTTGTATAGCCATACTTGGGTTCTGTGTTCTGGCCATGCTAGACACCTAGGATCTGGTATTTTATATATAGATGCAGACAAGGTATGAGTTGGTGATACTGAAATTCAGTCAGGGAATCTTTAAGCTAGTCTCTAATGGAGTTTCTCTAATGGAGTGTTTTTATACAACTGTCTATACAAAGAAGTTGTGAACTTAAGGGCGCAACCCAATGCGGGATGAAACAGAACAAAAGTTGTAGACCTTTCTTCCTGTCTAAACTTGCATAGAATTGTACTTTAAATAACATAATGAAAAGTAGAGAGTGTCATATTTTTTCTGATTTGGCAAGTGAGTTACTGAACAGGCAGCTCCTTCAAAGCACTTTTCTTCCATTCTGTTAGATGCTCATTGCCATTGTACCAGGAAAGAAAGCAGCCTGTTCTTGTGTAACCACAACTGAGCTTGCCTGAGGATTCAAAGCAAATGTTGTGTGGGCACCGAGCTGCAGGATTCATCTAGAGGCAGCCTGGGTTTGTCTGCTTGGTGTCAATTTCTTGCAGCCTTCCCTAGAGGAATGCAAAGCCCAAAGATAATGCACTTTTCAGGGGATGAGGAACCATTTAATTCTGTCTCTGCTCCCAGTGGATTTTGCCTTAGATTCATTTGCACTGAGGTTAATGAGATTAAGAGCTAAAGGGTCCCCCACCCCACCCCATGCTTATGACTGGATGGTGATGAAGATTGAGTAGGTCCCTTTAGAAAGCAGGTTTGGTTGAGGCACTGAGGAGGGAGATGTTAGTCATCTGTGATTAAAGATGATTGAGCAGGGTAGTAATACAGTCTGCCTGCAGCAGATGATGAAAAGAGTAGGAGGAAGAAAGGAATAGGAAAGAGAAAAAAAGTTGGCAGAGGATCAGAGATGGCTTTTAATATGCAGATTTAGCAACCTTAGACCTGAGAATTGGAATTATCAGCTGTAAACCCATTAATTTAACATCTACTGTGTGTTCAGCATGAAGTGGTTCAGAAAGGCTGCATTATGCATTTATGCTCCCTTGGCCTTGACCTTCGTTATTGTAAACCTCAGCCATTATGACTCAGTATTCTAAAGTTCAAAAGAGAGAAGTTCATCTTGTATGATCTGTTCAGGACAGAAGAAATAAGTCTGGAATTCCTGCAATGAGCCTAGAAAAATGCAAGCTGGTCTGAGGGGTATCGGAAAAGAGCAATAACAGAAAAGAAAGCAGAAAAACTAAAGGGTTTCATGAGTGCTCTTTCTCCTGCTCACTACCCTAGGGGGCGTAGGTATTGCAGAGTTAACTTTTTTGTTGAGATTCAAGCATCTTAAGACTTCTCAAATATGCAAACAACTTTTTTTCTTCCAGGCACAGACAGTAAATTGTAATATTAAAGAGTTAAAAAATAAGTTGAACATTATATCAGTCATCTTACTGTCTGCTAACAACTGATGTGATCTGCCTGCAGCATATTCTCCTAGGGCACCAAAGCATCTCCTGATTTGTTTACATTTTATAATTCTTATTTAATTCTCACAGGGGTATTTGATATAGAGCATTATTATCCTGTTTTCGAGATGGAGAGCTGAAGCCAAATAAGATCACAGTACTGTGAAACCTTGAAAAAAAGTTATTCTGACATTAGCTGATGTGGGTTACTACAGCTTGTGTTTTTATTTTTAGAAGTATATCCCATCATTCAGTATTCTACTCACAGGGTGGCTAGCATAAGCAAAACAATAGAACAGCCTATCAAAAAAATCCAACAGAATCATTAAAAGCATAACAGCATAATTCATAGCAGCAAAATTAAACTAGTTCAGAGGATACTTTAAAGGGTTTAAGAAAATTAGAATATTTATTTATTTATTTATTTATTAAAACATTTTTATGCCGCCCCATTCGCCGAAGCCTCGGGGCGGCTTACAACAAAAAATTAAAATAACATTTTAAAATATATACAATAAAATACAAATATACACTATAAAACAAGCCGCCCTGGCCAAATAAAATTCAATAATATTAACATTTAAAATACTGCTTAAATAAAAAGGTCTTCGCCTGGCGCCGAAAAACAAATAACGACGGCGCCAGGCGGACCTCTCTGGGGAGCTCATTCCATAACTTAGGCGCCACCGCTGAGAAAGCCCTCCTCCGAGTAACCACCCTCCTAACTTCTTCCATGGAGGGCTCCCGGAGAAGGGCCTCTCCCGCCGATCTCAGGGGGCGGCTGGGCATATAAGGATGTAAGCGCTCCTTCAGGTAACCAGGACCCAAGCCGTTTAGGGCTTTATAGGTCATAACCAACACCTTGAATTGGGCCCGGACTTCAATGGGAAGCCAGTGAAGCTGACGGAGAACTGGAGCTGGTGCTGAAAAGTCTTCAAAATAGGTGGCAGGCTATCTTCCGTAGGGACACGGCACTACAGACAAGGCACTACAGTTTGAAAAGCCCCATCTCTTCCAGTGCCACATACTTGG